TAGGTTTTTTTAGTAAGCACTTTGCTGTGTGTGAGGGCATATAGGCAGTGAAGGTTCTGACTCAGAGTATTTGTTTTCATGCTAAATTGAAAGAGAAGATCAAAAATATCAAAATTACCCCGTCCGCCAAACCAGAAAAATGTGGTTTTATTAAAGATAGTTTTGTTTTGCAACTCTGGCATATATGAAAAAGAACAGCACATTAAAATAATATTTAATATCATGCAGAATTGACACACCTCTGTCAATGAGTCTCTTCTAACAGAATAGCCCTCTTCCCCCACTAAAAGCTTCCTGTAAATATTTTTGGCAGGCTGTGTTCATAGAACATTTGTTTAAACTTGGATGTAAATTTAAACATGCCTAATGTAACAGAAGGTGTCTTTTTGATTCTTCTGTGTACTTCCTACACCTTTTTTGGAACATAGTTCACTGAAAGCATCTAAGTGAATATAGGACCTGACCTTATTTATCTGTTTTATCTTTATAATACAACATACATGCAGCACATCTGAAGAAGCACATGTTATTTATATAATAAACCTACTTTTAGCTGCTTATCATTTAGGAAGAATAATACTATTTCAGTGTTTTACTGAACCCCAAATAGTTGTATGATTATGTCAGTAGAGCATACTGTCTGTAATTTGGTTACAGGACTATATTTTCTAATATACGTTTTTTTCATATAGTTAGGTAGATCATGCTATCTTTTGGACTGAATTACTTCATGTAAAAGTTTGGTGTTTTTTACGTTTGTGATGATTAATTACATAATAATATTAGCAAATGAACTGTATTTTAACTGTGACAATAAGCCAGACGTGTTACGAAACCAAGTCTGAAGGCCAAGTACTTCCTACCTCTAGAGACTGTGCAACTTTAGATGAGCAGTGTACATCATGTTGCTCTTACTGTTTTTATAGAATGGTTCCAAGTCCTTCAAGAGTGGTCAGGCACCTTTTAAGTCATTTTACTGCCTGAATTTTGGCAGTTAGGTCTCTTATTCACACCTGCCTAATTGTTGCCTGTAAACTGCAAAGCAATGACTTGTTATCTATGTTCTCAACATCCCATTGCCGTTATGCAATAAATCAAATCAGGCTGCTCATCTTAAAAATCAAGGAGTGTCTCTTATCTTTCTCTAACGTTTGTGTCTCCATTTTTTTTTTTTCCTCTAAAGGCTTACCATGCTTCCAGTGAGAAACAATAGATCAATGTAATTGGAAGGAGTTACTAAATATCTGTAGAAAAAGAACAATATTTAATGGTTAAAATTTGGCATTTGTTTTTAAACAAATCCATTTAGTATGATACTGCATGTATGTATAAAAAAATCTGAGCATGAGTGTGAGTGGAATAAAAAAGGAATTGGAAAAGACTAGATTTAATATTTTGTCAACATTCTACACATTAGAGGATATATATATATTCATACACATTTATTCTGTGGATGGCAGCAGAAAGAAGGACAAAGGTAAAGAAAAGGAAGTAGATTATTAATCAGCATGATTCCTTTATTCTATGATGATGATGGTATGAATTTCTGACACAGTCTGAAACAATAAACATACTGCCTTTATAGTTTTTCTGACATTAATTTATCATGTTTTAGATTGTAAGAGATAGGAATCTTCTCTGCCAATATGATCCACTCCTTTAAAGATGTAGTTACAGATCTCTACAGCTCAGCCTTGGTGACAGAATAGTAACAGTGTACATAGACCTGTGAGAGGCTGGGTCCGCTGTTCTCCTCACTGCTGTCGTATATAATGTTGTTTTGTTTGCAGGGGTTTGAAGAGGAGCAAGTCAGTGCACCACTGTCTTTGAGGTGACACTGTGAAAGAAGTTCCTTTTGCTGGGCTTTATTTGCTTCCTTGGTAAAAGGATAAAACTTTTTTATAAAGCTGTGGGAAAACACAACTGTCCTGGACAAGAGTTTCTGTTCTAAACTAGACAATAGTGTTCATGCTTGTAGCAGTTTGTAATGGCTTCTAGGTTTGCAGATATGGTAAATATTTCTCACGTTATCTCCTCATTTAGACTGCACACCTCTGAACTTTAGTGTATACATAGTCAGGTATTGTTAAGGTAAATGGAATGAGACAAGTGATGAATTTGCTATATGACTGCAAGTTATCATTCATTCTGTAATCTGCATCTGTTACAGCTTCTTCAATCTTGAAGAGAGAGAAGAGAAAGAGAACAAAAAATGTCCATTTTAACTGTGTCACTGTATATTACTTCACAAGAAGGCAAGGCTTCACCAGTGTTCCCAGCCAAGGGGGAAGCACACTGGGAATGTCTACTCGCCACAACAGTGTGCGCCAATACACGCTTGGAGAGTTTGCGATGGAACAGGAGAGGCTTCACCGAGAGATGTTAAGAGAGCATCTAAGGGAGGAAAAACTCAATTCTCTAAAACTAAAGGTAAAAATTTTTCAAGACATTGATCCCTGCCTTATTTGTTTAAATGAGCAGTGTCAGAGCTATATGGACCCAATGTGTGTGTTTTAAACAAAACCATTTCCTTTTTATTGACTTTTTCAATTGAAAAATATGGCATTTTTCTTTTTTTTTTTAATTTACTGAAGATATATGTTTGTTTGATATTACCAAGTGCTCCTGCAGCTCTTATTAAGGTGTACCTCAAAGTGCTTTACAGGGAGGTTGTTGTTTACTCCCCATTTTCTATACAGAAGTAGACAAAGGCAGAGAGTGGTAGAAGTTAGCCTTGAACAGGCTGTCCAGCAAAAGTCTGGAAGTGCCAGGAAGTCTGAGCCCTTGCACGGTGCTCTATTAGACAAGGGTATGGTAACATCCTAAGTACTGAAAGTGAAAAATATTTCTCTTCACTCTAGAGCATGTATAAAAATGCAGGGAATAGAAAACTTCCTTTTTGAACTAGTCCATTAAACTCAGCTTAGTTGTATTTCTGATTATACAGCTGGGGCAAAAAATAAAATAAAAACCACTTCCCATCACAAAAGCAAATCCAGGACTTACCGAATTGGTGAAGACTCCCTGTAAAGCACTGAGCGTGTTTTATTTGCCCAAGACAACTGGGCCTTGCTGATTTCCCATTATAGAGATGGAAGAGCTGCTTGGTCATTCACATGGTTTCCAAATGAACACAAAAAGGAAACGCTGTAGCATTCTAAGGTGACAGTGTCAGCAATTATGATATTTAATGAAAATGTACTAATCAGGATTTGCATTAAAATTTGCACAGAAAAAATGAAATGAGAAAGCTAAATAGGACAAAGTTTTCTCAAAAAGGTTTTTCTGTTTGAAAACTATTATGCAAACAGAAAGTAACATTTTCAATGTGGTTTTTAATTTCAGTTTGCCTGGTTTTTAAATTTTTTTAATTGGATTAAAATATGCAAGTCCATAGGTAGAAAGTGCTCTCTCTTGTAGAATTTGTTAATTAAAGAAATAGAAATACAGGAATATATTGGAATTGAGTCTTCATAACATTAGGTATCGTTTATTATTTTGCTTGCTAAAAGTGAAGAGCTAAATAAGAAACTTCTCTTGAAAGCAGATAAAGATTTAAAAAAAATCTTCAAGTCACTTTAATCATTTAGCACTAGCAGTTTGGTGTAAACACGGCTAACAGTGGTATAAGCAATTGTTAGCAGCAGAGTGTGAAAATTCTAATGGCAAGAAGCCATCTTGTCAAAATGAAAGATACCAGGTAGGCTTTCCTTTAATACATTGTCATTTGAGAAAACATTATGAGTAAGCACAATAGATTAGCTGGAATAGTTCTTATTGCTTACTCATAATGCCTCCTCAAATTAAGATCTATTAAAATGATTTTTTCATGTTTTACAAAGTTGAAGTGAATTTCACCCAAAGGCTTCACATATTGGCCCTTGCCTTGTTCTGTTGTTAAGACATTAACCTTTAGCTTTATGAGGAAAATTTTACCCATCTACATATCAAGTTCAATTCAGATGAGCAATATTATGACAATTAAGAGAACTTAATGTTCCCCTGAAGTTCTACATTGCAAAATATATTTGATGGTTCTTGGTAATGTTCCTCCCTTTGTAGTTACCCAACTACTTGTTTAACAAATGTTCAAATCTTTAATTTCATTAGTTCATTTGTTCTTTGTGTGACAAAATTCAGAAAAAAAATCAGAGGAGACAACAAGGAAGTCATCTGACAAAGGAGTCAGGAGCTAAGGTTCTTTGAAATGGCAGACTGCTGTCTAATCCCACTTGATGCCCAGGCACTTGACTTTCCAGCCTGCTAGATGCCTACACTATTCAGCACGGGACTGGAGTCCATTCCTTAATGCTCTACCACTGTGTAGCAAAGGAGTTAAGATTTTCAGGAGAAGGAGGAGAAATACATGACAGGTTTGGTATGGTTCTGTAGGTGCCTTTGTAAGCTGAGCAGTTACAGCATTCACCTCATGGGTAAGAGCCCTGAAACCTAATTTTTATTAAATAGTAACTGAATGAAATACTACAATAATTATGGAAGCAGGGATTGTAATTCTTCCCCTTTCCAGTTTCAAACTTGTAATTCTGATAGACAATTAAATAACAGTGATCTGCTTAAGCAGTGGTTTGAGCCTTGTGTATTAAAAACTAGAGAAACCAGAATTCTTAGGTAGGTCATTCTCCTGTTATATAAAAAAAAAGAAAGCAAAGAAACATAAATACACCGTACTTTAGCTAACAAAAAAAGAATATTAAAAAAAAGCGAGGATGCCATTCTGGATTTGAACATTCAAGGCTGAGTTGCGTGTACAGTGGAGTATTCCTTCCCACTAGCTTCAGGCAGCTAATTCAAAATGCATTTGATTACTCTGTGGATTTTCCTGTCTCTCACTATAGATTATACAGAAAAAGGGCAACTTCTTATGTTGTCTTTCCTACCTTACTGAACTAATGCATTGAAATACCTGGTGTAAATAATCTCTCCATTGTCCCAGGGCCAGGCAGAACTGATTAGCAAGCTATTACCCCTTTTCTTCCTAGTAAAGTCAAATGAATAATAGAAAATAGAGTAAGAAAACAATCTGAAGGAAGTTTGAGAGGACATTTTGAAAATCACTGCATTTAAGATGAAGAAAGAGATAGAAGTATATGCACATAAAGGGATTTGAATGTTATAGGGATAACAGACATGGTAAGTAAACTGAAATATGAAATAAAATTAAGAGACAACTCTGAAGGCTGCAGTTATGGAGAAGGATTGAGAATACACTGAAAAGAGAAGGAAACAATAATGCCTATAAAGCGGAGCGTGGAAGTGGCAGAACGCGTCTGCATGAACTAAACACAGTGCTGAATTGTTAAGAAGGGACGATTACTGATCTCAGGAGAATTTTTCTTTGTGCAGTGTACTGTGTGCATGTACACTGTATGTCAGGACTACCAGTCATGACACTGTGATTCTTCTCCTTCAAAGGGAAGAGTATTTCTTTCAACCTGACTTTACAAGTCAGGAATAATTACGTTTTTTTTCTGTGATTGCCTTACACAGTTGTTAGAAAAGAAACACAAAATTGCAATTACAAAAAAGAGAGTTAGGTGTTCACCGCTGAGTAATTCAATAATGCCATAAATGACAGTTACAATCCAAAAGGTTGTGGAAAGGACAAACTGTTAATATAAATTGGAAAAATGAAACAGTTGGGAATATAGTAAAAGCTGAAATAGTGGAATGGGTAAGATTCAGGACTGCTATCTTACACATAAGACCTAGCTAGATGGAGATGACAGGATTTAGTAGCAGAAAAAGAGAGTTACCTTCACAATGATAATTGCTAAGTGTCTAAACACCAAAATGCACAAGTAACAGACAGTGGTAGTTATGACTTCTGTATTTTATCTGTATTTAAAAGCGGTTTCTAAAAATGTGTTTGGGATAACAGGCCAAGCTGAAATTTTCTGCAAGTAAATAAGGCAAAACAGAGAAAGAATTTGAATGGCTATTGCTCTATAGGTAAGAAACATTCAAATTACATTCACTAGGGGCCATTTTTCTGAGGTCATGGTGATGCCCATGATGAAACTGGTAATGCAAATGAGACTTGAGACTTCACCAGTGTATATTTATCACCTAGTTGCACCTTGCTTTTTTTTCACAAAAGTCCAGGTGCTCAGCTAGTGTAAATCGGCAACCTCACCACTTAAGAACACGCAGGGTGAACATTGGCAATCTGTTTTTTTGTTTGTTTTTCCATTTTAAGCAAAATTACTTCTTAGAATAAGAAAAAAAAAAGGATTTATTATATGACAAAATAGATCATATAACCGCACTTGCTTCATTTTTGCTATGTAGTACGATGCTCAATCTGAGTAATTAGAGATTGTAAAAATGTATTTTTTGTAGTGAATGTTTTCATCTCTCTGAACTTGGTTTTAACATTTGATATTCTTTTGATTCTCAAGCAATTTTTTGATTCTCTGTAGAAGAACTTTTATAAACCTTGTAGTTTTGTTATCTGGCTCTACCATGGGTGGGAAAATTAACTTTCCTTCAGTGAAGTAATTTTTTTTTTTTTATTTTCTCCTTGAATATATACATCTGTTTCTGTATGAGCTAAGTTATACAGGAGTATGGTACAGAAATGTGCTATTTCATGAAAGTGGCACTGGATGTTTGTTCTGATGCTCATGGCCATTTAATTTTGAAACAATTTTTGAAAGGTTTGAGAGCTATACTATACATAGGTAATAATATAGTGCCTGGACACTTGTATCTACTGAGGCTCAAAAATTCATATCACTAGGAAAGGAGCATGAATCCTCTAAAGACTTTTCTCAAGATCCTCCACAAGAGGTTAACAACTTATTTCCTTTTTTTCTATGTTTATTCATTCATTAACTACCTAAGAATAATCTGGACTGGTTAGTGAAGTACTAAAATCTATGACAACACAAAACTAAATGGGTTATTTTCAGGACTAAAGAGGAGTCGAAAGATCTTCAGAAGAGCTATATCCATCAGTTCTATTAAATATGTTGCAAATAAATATGAAGTAATGTAGGTAGAAGGGGGCAAAATTAACTGACTTCTAGGCTTAAAACTGTCAACTCGAAGTAAATATAAGCATCTGCCCAAATGATTAAGTGGAAATACTGCTTTGTGACCTCAGCTGTACAAACATCAAACAACTTGTCAGGCTAAAGAGGAACAGGATAGCAAATAGTACATAAAATACACCATTTTACAAATCTTGTAATGTATTTCTGAAACAGTGTTGGTAGTATAATTGCTGTCTCAAAAGGGATATTGAAAAATTTTGGAGCCCACAGACAGGTACTAGAATCAATTAAGAACTCGTTAATTATCTTATGAACAATATGAAAAAGACTAGAATTCTACAAAGCCATGAAATCTGGCAAACAGCAACAAATGATAAAGGATGTAAGGAACAGATAAGAAATTAGAAACTCAGAAAAAAAATTAGCTGCATGACAAACATGAAACTAAAAATGTGTATTTAATTCACATGTCAAATGTGAAGGCACTGCCTTTTCACCCCATCTATAATCATATTCTAGAACTTAAAGGCAGCCATGCAGCATTTTTACATGTGGCTTTCCACATTCGTAATGCATTACACATATTTACATCTATGTCACATATATATATGTATGTAGTTTAAGGACTTTCTTAATTGTTCTATGCAACAGATGACAAAGAATGGTACAGTGGAATCTGAAGAAGCTAATACCCTGACACTGGATGACATTTCTGATGACGATATTGATCTAGACAACACTGAAGTAGATGAGTACTTCTTTCTGCAACCCCTGCCGACAAAAAAGCGAAGGGCATTGCTGCGAGCTTCTGGAGTGAAGAAGATTGATGTGGAAGAAAAACACGAGCTTCGGGCCATCCGCCTGTCCAGAGAGGATTGTGGCTGTGACTGCCGAGTGTTCTGTGATCCAGAAACTTGCACTTGCAGTCTGGCAGGCATAAAATGTCAGGTAAATGTCTATATTATTGTTGTTATTTAACTATCAAGGGGAGAGGTGTGTGTGCATGCACAGGCATGTACTTTTTGTTGTTAAAGTTATAACTACTGTAAATAAGTTAATTATTAGATGATAACACTTGTGCATCTCAAACCAGTTTTTTTAAGGCCCAGATTTGAGAGTCTATAAGTGTGCAATACAAAGATTCTCTTTAAACATCTTCCTTTATTTTTTGATTGGTTTAGGCACATATCTTGTTTAGGGTTTTGTTATACAAATATTGGGCTCCTCATATTCCTCTTCGGCATTTATAAAAATATGCAGCTGTAGACAACAGAAGAATCAGTAGCCTGCAGATTTCAGAAGGGGATATTACCTTTTATTTTAGAGACAATTCGCATACTGTCCAAATGTGAATTATTGTCCAAACTCAATGAGAAACAATAAATGAAACTCTGTGGTAGCACCCTTTATTTAACATGCATGATGCTTAAAATATATGCATGACAAATTTGCATGTAGACAATAAAAAAGACATCTGCTAATATAGCAGGTAGTTTTTCCTCTGCAGACTGAAAAGGTGTTTCATATTGTACATTTACATGGTATCCTACGTACAGCTGTAAATGTCCCAAAAATGTTCCCCAAAAGATGTTTCCACTAATCCTCCTGAGTCGCAGTTATGCAGCTGAGTTGATTTCTTCCTGAAGGCATTTTTCATCATTTCTTAAATCCAAGCTAAGCTTTCTCTGCTATTTTAAATAATATATTTTCTTTGCTGTTCCTGTTTTCATCTTCACATGTGGGGAAGATGCACTAGATTGTGTTATACGGTTCTCCTCTGCATCATATTTGATGTTTAGGTGTTAGAGGATAGGTGGAGATCATAGATCTTAAGCTATCTAATCAAACTGACTGACACGGATTCAGTCACATTTTTAGAAATTTTAGATGGCTATTATTAGATATGTAAGTTCTGCCCACAGTCTGTTGAGCTTACGATACTGCATCTACAATTGACAGGAGTATCTTTTAAAATGTACTTGAGTTTTTATTCCTATTTTCTGTGGTCAGGTGTCCCCACTGGCAACTTTATAAAGGTTTTTATACATAATTCATTTTTTTTCAATAGGTTTCTAGTTTCCATTATTTTTACCAGATTTTAAGACTCTTTTTGGTAATGCTTTTGCCTGGATTTGAGCACAACATGAAGTAAAGATGTAGCAGAGCCATAAACAGAAATAACTCTTTTTTTGTTCCACTGTGTAATGCTTTCACCTATGGAACAGAAGCATATTTTTCCTATTCTGCAACACTGTTGCATGTATGGGTCCCTTGGTGTTCTTATCAGTAGTGCTAAATTCCAGGGCTATCTCTCTGAATTATTGTTAGCTTTGACAAGTCTTACAAGTACTTCTCAAGGTGAATCACACTTCACTGTTGTGTTTCTCTAGGCTGTCTGGGTTCTGTCATAACACCAGGCTTATGCTACGTATTGTTAATCTATATTCTTTTTTTTAAAAGGTGGATCGTATGTCTTTTCCATGCGGTTGCACTAAAGAAGGGTGTAGCAATACAGCAGGTAGAATTGAATTTAACCCTATCCGTGTACGGACTCACTTTTTGCACACAATAATGAAACTTGAACTGGAGAAAAATAGAGAGCAGCAAGTTCCAGCACTAAATGGCTGCCACAGTGAGATAAGTGCACACACTACTTCTATGAGTCCAGGACCCCACCCTGTTGAATATTCAATTGCAGAAAATTTTGAGATTGAAACTGAACCTCCGGCTGCGGTTATGCATTCTCAGTCAGCCGAGGACTTGGACTGCCCAGGGGAAGAGGAGGAAGAGGAAGATGGGAGTAGCTTTTGTAGTGGAGTCACAGATTCTAGCACACAGAGTTTAGCCCCTAGTGAATCAGATGATGATGAAGAGGAAGAGGAAGATGAGGAGGAAGATGAGGAGGAAGAAAAAGCAGATGACTTTGTAGAAAGCATGGGCTCCCATACTGATATGGTACCTCTTCCTTCTGTCCTTTGCTACTCTGATGGAACTGCTGTGCATGAAAACCACTCTAAAAATGCCTCATACTATACTAACTCTTCAAATCTGTATTACCAAATAGAGAACCACGTTGCTGGCACTGCTAACCAGATTGGTGAGACTTATTCAGAAAGGGATGCTGTCAAGAATGGTAGTCTTTCTCTGGTGCCTTACAACATGTCTTCAGAACAGTTTGTTGACTACACACGGCAATCAGAGGAAACTTTTAGCAGCCCTCATTACCCTCCTGCAAATCCCTCAGTGATTGTTTGCTGCTCATCTTCTGAAGGTGATAGCAGTGCTCCATGTAACAGTTTATACACTGAGCATAGGCCAAGTCCCCCTCAAGTGGAATTTCACTCATACTTGAAAGGTCCTTCTCAAGATGGCTTTGTTCCAGCTTTAAATGGCAACAGTCGCGTACAGGAGCACCCTGCTGAGAAGTCACTAAACCTCCCAGAAAAGAGCAGACTGCACGAAGAGTGCATCAAATCACCAGTGGTGGAAACAGTACCTGTTTAATATTAAAATTATTCTAGGACTGACTTCCTGTATTAAAATGCACTCACGTTGGATTTCCTAGAATCTTACTTTTTTAAGAGGTAGACAACACTTGGACTATAGTCAATGATCCAGACACATTTTGTTTTCTCAAGCTACACTGGCAGTGGTATTGCACAAAAACAGTTCATGTAAAGATTTAAATAAAAATAATCAAACTGTCTTTTGATAAAAATAAAATGCCTAAGTAAAAAAGACACCCAACATATTTCAAAGTATATACCTATCAAAGTATGTGAAACCTGCCAAGCTGTCTGAATCAAAGCTTTGTGTTTTTGACTGTTGGGCCTGTGCAAGATTGTTAAAAATTATACTTTGAAATAATCATCTTTAGAGTCCTAATTTTTAACATATCTGAAAAGATGGTAAGTTTAATGTAAAAGTAACTACTGTACAAAAAAGTTTTAATTGTTCTGTACTGTATGTATTTTATTTATGGTAGGTTAGTACTCATGTTTTGATAAAAATGAACAGCATGTTCATTTGAGCAGAAGATCCATAGCTAGTTAAAAAAGAGCGTGTCCACTTTTCATCTGGAGTACTTTGTATTCATCCCCTTTTTTTAATACCATTTGTGGTAAATTATCTTGACACATTTTTTAGAGTGTACTATTTTCTCTTTTACTGTTCTTGACAAACAGAAGAGTCAGAAAGGGGGCATTTGTATCTTCTAGAAAGGTGAAAGGTAGACAATCCTGTTAAAATTAACATCAGTGGCATTCCAGAACTAGTACCCCCTCCCCAAAGAAAAGGATCTTGTATATAATGGTAAAGCAGTAGCATAAGCTTGCACAGCACCTTTTAGCCCAACAACCATTCAGATACTTATGCACTTTAGTGCCATTTTGCAGTACTGTATTAACTGCGGGAACTGTGAACTATTTTGGAGAAATGCCATAGCTCCAGACTCTGAGGTGTATGTAAAACCTTAAAATTCATTGTAACAAAACCTTTATGTTTTTCCCAAGCCAGTTTATGAATATGTCAGCAGGTAATTTATAAAAGCAGGGTCTTGCTGATCAAAGTTTAAATGAAGCATGAAAAAAAATGTGGAAGTGTCTAGATTTCCTAAATATTCAGCAGTTTTTATGAAATATGGGACTGGCTTTTGTGGACTTCTGATTGTATCTCAAATTTACAGAGTCATTTGGTCTAATTAGGAACCAGTAGATTCAGTGAGGAAACATAACTTCAGAAATTTTATACTTACTAAAGTTTGTAACCAAAATAGCACATGCATCATATGGGTATCAGTTACCTTGTACTCCATTTGTTTTAAAATGAAATGGGAATTAACATACTTGTTGTATCTGAACCTTTAATTTATTAACCAACCTTGCTTTCTTCTAGAAAAGGAGGTATAGGAACCTGCTTTTCTCTACACTGATAATTCCACACTGCCTTATTTTGATTTCAAAATCTATTTGAACATTTTTGTTCTTCTAATACCGAATTTTTATTTATTATACATCAAGTGGCTTGAAATGTAGACCTGTCTTGTTTGTCAAAATAAGGATCAGTATGTTAGTTTTTATCAGTGTCAAATCTAGATGGTTAACAGTATGCATGTAAACACTGTAAATTTTAGCTTTGTAACAGTGACTCTTCTGGTTAGAAGCTCTTTAAAACATCATGTACAGTACTCCAGTAGAAAAACTGCCACATTTAAAATATGCTTTTTAACAAAATAAGCTGACTTGATTGTTTTTAAATGAAATCTGGGCAAAGGGATTTCTCATTTTTATGCTAAATTAGAAAAATATTTTTACTCCATGTAGTAGCTGGAAAGGTTTTTTATTTACTTGTTTCCAAAAGAAGTCCTACATGTTTTATATGAACTGCATTGAAAAGTCCTGGTTCTCTAGGGACCAGATTCCACACATGCAACGTATTCCATCTCCTGGGAAAGTGCAGTCATGTTGGTTATCTGGCTCAGCAGTTCCTTAGCTTCTGTTCCTCTTAGTCACAGAACACTCTTGTGTCTTTCTCTAAAGGCTGAATAGCCAGGTAAGTACATGTATTCTCCAATTCCATACAGCAAATATCCATCTTTATGAACTAACATGTTTCTCTTTAAAAATAAAGTTCCCCTTCTAAGAATAAGAATATCATTCTGTTCAAGATATTCTGTGGCCAAAAGTAACAAGGCTTTGTGTATGTATATATCTGCATCTTGCATTAACAGCAGGCTTAAATCTGGCACTCTCACTCAACACCAGCAGCAAAAGCACAAATCCCTTCTACTTAGCTGGGACAGTTGCTGTGAATCAGTAGCAGCTTTTTAACCTCAGAGTGTGTTGGCTACTGGAGGATCACACACGCTTTACCAGGGTATTCCTCTCAGGGGAAAGTTAAATGAAATATTTTGTTTCACTATTCACCCCTTTACTGAGCAATAAGAAAGTATTTTCTTGGCCCCTGTACTTCCACATGAAAAATATATTTAATAATATTAGCAAGCACAGGAAGTGATTAACTTTATAAAGTGCATCTCAGCTAGCTTTAAAATACTGAGATAATGGTTATTTAATATTTCCATTGGCACAGCCTTCAGCCCCCAGGCCTCCTTAATATTAGTATCTGTATAAACTTCTGAGTTCATAGATGTATATGTTCCATGCCATTGGGGCATCAGAGGTGAATACAGCTAAATGCTCTAACGCTTGCAGCATAGGATGACAAGCAGTAGCTTGTAGTAGATAGGGTAGAGAAGGCAGTGACTATATAAAGAACTTGTGCTACACAATTTCCCTTTGCTTGAAGTAGCTAATTCCTGGGAGTCACAAAGTAAAATGTGCAGAATAAAGATTTATGTTGAAAAAATATTCTTTACTGTCTGGTGATAATATAGATAGTAATACCTTTCTTTTGACCCGATCTGTTGATTTGTGATCAAGATTTGATCTCAGGATACAAAGTAAACAAATCTTGTTTAGTTCTTGCAACAAGTTACAAAGTCAAGTCTGTTTATAATTCATGGAGATATCCTGGTAGCTATACTAATAATATCAACAAGCCTTCTAAGAGAGATAACAGAAACCTCTTTTTCTGATACAGGCTAAACCTGTTCTCCAAACAATTCATACCAGCAAATAACAAATCTAAGGTCTTTTCTAGCATGTATAAGTTGACTAGAGTGAAGAAAAAAAAAAAAAGGTCACAGCACTGACCAAAACAGATAGGCTAATTTAACTGTTACATCTAAAATTGGCTTTAGAAATCAGGGGAGAGTCAAGATTCCTACCCCTTGATTAGACTTTGATGTTTTGTTTAGTAGAAAAAAGTACTGTTCATATAAGGAAAAATAAACTGTAATCAAGGGATGGATAATGTTTCAATGTTATTTTCTGGACTAGTATATAATAATATATGATGTGTCCCATTTCCCAGTTGGTTAATATTCATGTTGATAAGCAGTCCTTTCATATCGGGTAAGCTTATTTCTGTGTGGTAAAAGTGTTATGTTACTAAATGATAAACAGCAGTATTTGCTTCTGTATTGACACGGTACATAATTTGTGTAAATGTTTACTTTACTGATAGTTGCATCAGCTTTATTTACCAAGATATCTGGCTACTGATAATCAATCCTATGCAGCCAGGCATACATTGGTAGACAGTTACACTACATAGTTCAGAAAAATGAGTCATAACTAAAGCATTTCCCTCTGTTAAAATAAAACAGAATTTTCCCACAAAAAATCACTGGAACAGCACCTAGAACTGGATGCCTTTTTGCCTATAACGTGACCTTTGCCTCTCTTGGGAAAAATGCATTGTTAAAGTTTATATATTTAACTGACATTAGACATAAAATTAGAACTTTTCTGGCAATATTGCAGCAATTGCAATTGTTTCCTGAGAGCTATAACTCATGCCCACTGGAACATCCTTTAAAAAATTAAAAGATGGTCAGTAAAAGTTTCTAATATTTTTTTTTTAAATCATTATTTGATGAGCTGTATGCTATTTATATCAGAGAGTTATAGCTTTGTAAAGTTTTACTATTTTTCATTTACATCAGTTCCTGCTAGTGAGTCATAATTTGAGTTGACGTTTGTTTATTTTAAGGCAATTGATTACACTATCACCGTAACCATCACTTCCTATACATTTGGTTTGGCTTGCTCACTGATCTATTAACTGAGTCAGTTAACAGTGCGATCCTGCCTGTAGTATTCATGGTGGTGTTAGTGGATTGTTAACTGATCCCCCCAGACCCAGTTTCTAAACTTATCTGGGTGTTGTATTTCAGTAAATGTGCTAACAAGCTTATCACGTGGCATTCCTTGCCTCGTAATCTGGAGCATATCTTCACAAACCACGGCTAGTTGGTTAAAGATCGTATACATACATTTGTATCCAAAACAGAACGTATTATGGTTTTTAATATTTCAGATGTTCCTGACTCTTTGATAGATGTGTGATATGCTGGATAGAGAGTACTGGCCTTAGACAGAGGATATCTGGGTTCTACTGGCTTTGCCTTTGTCCTACTCTGTCATTTCCATTCTCTGTGCTCTGGTTTGTAAGGTACTTGGAGATACTGTGATAAAAAAATAATTCTATAGAACAGGCAAACTACCAGGTTTTTTTCCTCTTTTTTTGGCATCATAACTAAATTTTTGTACTGACAACCAAGTCACTTTCTCAATAAAGTCCAGTCCAGCTCAGAATTGAATAGAAACTTTATCACTAATGTGAAACACAGCAAAAACAAGGATTAATGAGCAAAAGTTCAACAAAAACTTTCACAGTGAAAATCAGAATAAAAGCTGTGTTGAACATACATTTACCTGTCAAGTGCTTAACATTTAAGCAGCAAGATTGGAGTTTGCCTGTAACACCATACTTGGCAGCAGCAGGCAGTCTTATTCCTCTGCATGTTGTCTTCTTTTGCCAGCTGAATTCTCTCAGTTGAAACTACTTGTCAAGGCTGCTCCTGGAGCAAAGCAGGTGTCCTTACTCAGAGCTAAAGCAAGAGAGACCCATTATATTGTTTTAAAAGGTATTTGTGAAATAAGAAGCTCCTGTGTTGTAGAACATGAGCTGTATAAACTCATGTTCATTGTTCCAGTTACTTCCCAAAGCAGTCAGGAACAGGGACAGAAGAGGATGATGATATCCTTAAGTGTTTAAGGATGTTACGCTTTCCCACTGAGGCTAAAGAGTAATTCTATCATCTACTTTATTATGGTTGCAGAACATTTGATGTAAAATACTTAGAAAAACTAGAATTAACTCAGATAATATATTCTATAGAATTTATTTCTAAAATATTAAATCTGATTACTATTTTTTTAAAGTGCTACAAAGCTGCTGTTATTTTCAAAACAGAGTCTAGTTCATTAACATGTTCTTTGGTATGACAGATCTCAACATTTGCCTTTTCAGTGTTTCCAAATTATTTTTTAAATATTCCTTAATTTTACTGTTCTCTGTAATAGCTGTTCATGTGCAAATTGTAAATTGTCCATTTTCTCCAAGAAGTGTGAAATCCAAAGCATGAACATTGTGAAGTGATGAACAAGTGTGATTTAGTTGTAAAGATGTCTGAATGAACACACACTTGAGTTCTTCATAAGTGCGTTGTGT